GAGGAAGAGCCTCCTGCGGCTCCATCCAGTTTATGGTGCGTATTTATGGATTTAAAATTCAAATGATTATTTTTTTCCCCGTCCTCTCTAATCACGACCTTGATGCTTCTGAAATATGAGTGAGGCAGCCCAAGGACGCGGAGCTGGCGGAAGGTATTGATCCGCAGGTATGAGTTCTTCCTATCAAAGTCCGGAGCCAAGGAGAAATCATCCATCAGAGAGGCGCACATCATCGGATACGTGCAGTTCCCTCTTCTGTTTCCTCCCTCTCAGCTCAGACAGATGATGCCCCAGCTGTCAGCCGGACTCTTTTGCCATTATGGATGTTTTGGAAAATCAGAAAAGTCAGGTTAAGCAGCAGCAGCACCATTATATTTGACCCTGAAAGCCATAGAACGAGCTGCTGCTGAGCGGGAGGAGGCGGAGGAGAGAGTTTGGAGAAGAGGGAGAGCGGGGACGACGCACGGAGAAGAGCTTTTTGCGCACGCTCCCACCCCCCACCCCAGAAAATAAGTGACATGCAAACAGGAATCGAGGCAGCACAAGTCACAAGATCCTGCAGGTTCAGCGGCGCGGCGGTTTGGTAAGAATTGAGGAGAATAAACATGAGACCGAGAAGTCAGGATCAGAGTTTGTCAGACTCCAGAGAGTTGGACAGATCTTACGACCCGCTCACAGGTAAGTTTTTTTGTTTTTTGCTTTTCTTGCTGTCTTTCTGCTGTTTGCTGACTTGGCTTGAATCTCCAGTCACATTCATTCACTGAGCTCAAGTTTGGTGATTCAGGCTCAGTGATGCTGCTCCAGACTGAAGCATCATTTTCCTCACTGATTCAAACTCTCATATTGCAGGTACTTTACTTTGAAAATCATTTTCCTGTTGACTGACTTAAACTAGAATATGGACAAATCTAACAGCTTTGCATTCTCATGCCCTGAATGTCCTTAAAGGCTCCAAATGGAAGATTAAAGAAAAATCTTAGGGAGCATAAAAACAAAAGGCTTTGCAGTATTGGAAATGTGAGTGGCTCCTTGTCATGATATCAGGCTATCACATGGTTTTCATGCCCAAAAATGTTCATAATACAAATATTATCGCAATATCTGTACAGAAAAAAACAATTATTCTATCAGCCACATTCATCTTACTTACAAATAACTTTATTTCATGTGTGTTTTGTCTCTTTTTTGGCAATAAATTCACGATTGAATGAATTACACTCAAATTATCAGTGTGGACACATGGAGACAGAGTGATAGCTGTGCTGTATGTTGTTGCTATGCTGGAATGTCAACCAGATAGAGAATTATTTACAGTATTATCATATCTGTATTAATAATATGATATTGTCAATCTCAAGACACTCCTGCTTCCCTGTGGAGGAGACTGCAGTCAGATCATAGTTCCCATGTGAGTAAAGTAGATTGTGGATGTAAAAACATCATCACATAAAGGACTGAATGTCAGAGTTACGTGTTAATCTGAAATGTGAGTGAATGGACAGTTGAATGATGACTTCTGGTGTTATTCTGCAGTCTGATAGCTGTAACAGTAGCCTGGTGTGATAAATCAATTAGCTGATGGACATAAGGTTAATCAGTGACAATTACGACTAATTGTTTAAGAAATTAAGCAAGAAAAGCTTTTGAACTGTGAGAATTTGCTTCTTTTCTCTGTCATGAATCACTTTTTAACCACTGGTCGAACAAAACAAGCAGTTAGAAGACATCAGCCTTCACTCTGGTGCCTCGTCATGTCTATTTTTTTCTGAAAATATGACATTTTCTTCATGAAATGATTAAAAATATATTTTAAAAAAAAAGGATCAGTAATGGCATAGTCTTAAGTTGAAGCACCAAATAACATATAATACCAAGTATATCAAGTGTTTTTTTATTTTATTTCTCAGATTAGCTGAAGCGGTAAATGGCCAAATGCACTCAAATGAAAGGAAAAAAACAAAAAACAAAACAGACACCTAAAAGCTAATTAGTTTGTCAAAGATGTGAGAGCAGCTTGCTATTATCACCAAAGTCACAGTAAAGGTTGTCAATGCTCAGCTGCTATCGATGTGAATACAGTTTGAGGAATGACACTGCTCCGGACTGAAGGAGAAAAGAAGAGTAAAATATTGAAAAAACTAACTCTCCTGTCACCTAAAATTATATCTGTCAGTGTGTGCGTTTGTAGAATAATTAGATCAGAGAGGCTTGGGCCTATCACAGACTCTTCGGCGTTTTATTTTCCTAAATCCTCTGTAGAGATCACACACAGTCTCTGCCTTTGTGAGACTGCGCTGTCATCCTCGTGACAACTTCCCGAAATAGTCTCTTCCTTTTAAAAATAACCAAATAAACGTGTAAAAATAACATCTTTAATATTACACACGCAGCGGTGAAACTTTGTTCCCATTAAGTTTTCATGCCATTTCCAAACTCGTGCATTGGGAGCAGACAGATGGAGGGATGGATGGTATACAGATGGCAGTTTATTTAATTGCTGATAGTTGTTGATGGTACAATAGCCTGTGTGATAACCATTCAGCAGCAGGTTAACCAAACAGAGAACAGGTGCACGAACACCAGGCGTTCAGGAGACACAAACAAACTGTTTTTTTAAAGAGTGAAGCACAGCCTGAGGCACAAAACTCAAGTCTTTACTGTTCAACTCCACACACTTTGTGTGCATCTGTGAAGGAACCATCTACCAACAGAAAAAAAAGTGTCTTTAAGTGATTTAAAAGATTTATCGGCTATATGTAAGAAAAAGAATGAGCCAGATGGAGCTCTAAATGGTCTTCATGTGAGCTGCTACCCTGTAAAGCTGCAGAGAAGCTTCATGTTGTTTACTTATGTGTTCATACATTATAGATACACAGGATGTTTGTCAAGTCATCACTTTGTGCAGCACACTTCACATGTTACAGTGACACCGACTGACTGCTGGCTGCGGCTCAGGTCAATTGTGAAAGGCATTTTTTTTTCACAGTTTTAAAAGGGAGAGCTCAGGAGCTAAAGCTAGTTAGCTTAGCATGAGGGCTCTTTGGCTTGGCTCTGTCTAAAGGTTGCAAAATCTGCTCTAAAGCTCGCTATTAAGCATGAAGATGAAAATCTAAGTACAAAAACGACACTTTGCATTGCCAGACTGAGTGATGTGTCAGATTTTTTCTTGGTTGTTCATAAGTTGAGCTTCTCTCAGATGAGTATTCTGGGAAAGTTAGAGTTCAGCAAAGAACCCTGAATGAATTCAGACAAGACTCTGGACTTTAAAGACCCCCTCTGGTAAAAACTAAGTTGTTTTTGTTTTTTTAAGTTATTCTTTTGGCCTTTGTGCCTTTATTGATAGTGCAGTGAGAGAGAGAGAGACAGGAAAGTCGGGGAGAACGTGTGTGAAAGGGCCATGAGCGGGATTCGAACTCATGACCTCCACATCGGGACTGTAGCCCTGTACATGAGACGCCAGCTCAACCAGGTGAGCTGTAGCAGCGCCCCAAAGTTGTTTTTTTTTAAATCGTCACCATCTACATATGGAGTTTGTTAAATGCTGGCAGATGCACAAAATAAGTAAACTGCACTGCAATGACAACGGTCACAAAAACAGATTCAGACTTCCTGTATTTCATATGTCACAAACCTAAAAGGACAGATCCTGTCTTTTTGCAGAGTAGAGCTCTCTGTATCATTATTCTTCAGATTCAAACATGAGTGACTGAATCACCACAATATCACAACTGGCCATTGTGCAGAGTTTGACAGTGTTGGAGCAGAGCTGGAGCTGCAGCGAGATGGGAGGAATGAGAGGAGAGAGAGGTAGGGACTCGGGCTGGGCGATATACTGGTATAAAAAATGTATCGATATCATTTTAAATGCGATATGAAATTAGACCAGGTCAAATTTGCGCTGTGATCCCTGCTCCCGGCAAGCTAAGCTGGGCTCCGCGTAGCTAACGGTTAGTGATTGAAGACGTTAGCGTCTTCAGTGCTAGTGCAAAACACAGAACTACTGGTACAGTTCGTGACAGACCCAGGAGTGGGGCCCCAAGAGTGACAGCGATGACCAGTACCTCAGGACCTATGCACTCAGACATCGCTATGCAAGTGCCACAGAGCTGCAGGCCCGTTTACGAGATGTGAGGGGTACTAGGGTTTCCTGACACACCATTCGCAACCGACTCCACCGCTTTGGCTTGAATGCCAGACGACCGTTGCAGGTGACTCCACTGACACCAAGACACCGCCGTGAACGTTTGCAGTGGGCACAAGATCATGTGACCTGGACAATGCAGCAGTGGTCTACAGTCCTGTTCGCTGATGAGTGTCGAGTCACCTTGCACAGAAATGATGGTCGTCAGCGTTGCTGGAGAAGGCGAGGTGCGTAATATGCCGAGGTTAACATGGTCCCCAGGGTTCGCTTTGGTGGAGGAGGTGCAACAGTCTGGGCAGGCATCACCAGCCAGCACAAAACAGATTTGGTTTTTGTAGATCAATCAAATTCAATCAATCAAATTTTATTTATATAGCACTTTTCATGTGCAACAACAACAACGCAAAGTGCTTTACAACATTTAAAAACAACAAAGCATTTAAAAACATTACAACATTTAAAAAATAAAGTAGACCCGTCCCTCCCACCCTACACATACACATACAACAAATGCAGTCGCGCACACACACACGCACACACACACACACACACACACACTCACCACGAGACTAAAAGAGGCATGGCATGGCACTGAGGGATTGTGGGAAACGCTACCATTGGGGCCATCCACATCAGGAGGAGTTGCAGACTATGACTACTGGGGGCGCCGGCACCCGGACCCCCAACCTGACAGACAGGGGGATCCTCACAACGAGGTGGGGAGCCCCCCCAACCAGCCGGCCGAAAGGACCCGCAGACAGCACCCCCAGCAGCAGACCGCACACAGCCCCCAGTGTGGAGGACCCCCCCTAAGGAAACACTGGAAATAAAACTAAAAACTTTAAGAATAAAAGGCCTTATGTAAGATAAAACAAAAGTTAAAAGAGTTAATACATAAAGATAAAATACAACGATAAAATACAAATATAAATAAATGATAAGAATATAAAAGAATTAAAGTTCAATTAAAAGCTTGATTAAAAAGGT